AGTACAGATATGGGGAGGCCTGGCAGATTGATTATATCATACTCCCACCAACCCGCCAAGGTGGAGGCAACCACCGGATGGCTGGAAACATAGAATCAGAATCATAGAATAGTTAGGGCTGGAAAGGAACTTAAGATCATCAAGTTCCAACCCTCCTGCCGTGGGCAGGGACACCTCACACTAAACCATATCACCCAAGGCTTTGTCCAACCTGGTCTTGAACACTGCCAGGGATGGAGCATTCACAACCTCCCTGGGCAACCCATTCCAGTGCCTCACCACCCTAACAGGAAAGAATTTCCTCCTTATATGCAATCTAAACTTCCCCTGTTTAAATTTATCCCGTTACCCCTGGTGCTATCGCTACGGTCCCTAATGAAGAGTCCCTCCCCAGCATCCTTATAGGCCCCCTTCAGATACTGGAAGGCTGCTATGAGGTCTCCACACAGCCTTCTCTTCTCCAGGCTGAACAGCCCCAACTTTCTCAGCCTGTCTTCATACGGGAGGAGCTCCAGTCCCCTGATCATCCTCGTGGCCCTTCTCTGGACTTGTTCCAACAGCTCCATGTCCTTTTTATGTTGAGGACACCAGAACTGCAAACAGTACTCCAGGTGAGGTCTCACAAGAGCAGAGTAAAGGGGCAGGAACACCTCCTTCGACCTGCTGGTCACGCTCCTTTTGATGCAGCCCAGGATACGGTTGGCTTTCAGGGCTGCGAGCGCACACTGCCGGCTCATGTTCATTTTCTCATCGACCAGCACCCCCAAGTCCTTCTCCGCAGGGCTGCTCTGAATCTCTTCTCTGCCCAACCTGTAGCTGTGCCTGGGATTGCTCCGACCCAGGTGTAGGACCTTGCACTTGACATGGTTAAACTTCATGAGGTTGGCATCAGCCCACCTCACAAGCGTGTCAAGGTCCCTCTGGATGGCATTCCTTCCCTCCAGGGTATCAACCGAGCCACACAGCTTGGGGTCATCGGCAAACTTGCTGAGGGCGCACTCAATCCCACTGTCCATGTCAGCGACGAAGATGTTAAAGAAGACCGGTCCCAACACCGATCCCTGAGGGACACCACTTGTTACTGGTTTCCAGCTGGACATTGAGGCATTGACCATAACTCTTTGCGTGCGGCCAGCCAGCCAGATCTGTATCCACCGAGTGGTCCATCCATCAAATTGATGTCTCTCCAATTTAGAGACAAGGATGTTATGTGGGACAGTGTCGAACGCTTTACACAAGTCCCGGCAGATGACATCAAGTGCTCTACCCCTGTCCATCAGTTCTGTAGCCCCATCACAGAAGGCCACCAAATTGGTCAGGCAGGATTTCCCCTTAGTGAAGCCATGCTGGCTGTCACCAAGCACCTTGTTGTTTTTCATGTGCCTTAGCATGCCTTCCAGGAGAATCTGCTCCAAGATTTTGCCAGGCACAGAGGTGAGACTGACTGGTCTGTAATTCCCTGGGTCATCCATTTTCCCCTTCTTGAAAATGGGGGTTATATTTCCCTTTTTCCAGTCGTCGGGAACTTCACCTGACTGCCATGATTTCTCAAATATGATGGCCAGTGGCTTAGCAATTTCATTCACCAGCTCCTTCAGGACCCGCAGATGGATTTCATCAGGACCCATGGACTTGTGCACATTCAGATTTTTAAGATGGTCTCGAACCAGTTCCTCTCCTACAGTGGACCCAAGGTCTTCGTTCTCACTGTCCCTGCGTCTGCCTTCCAAGACTTGGGTGGTGTGGTCAGAGCCTTTGCCAGTGAAGACGGAGGCAAAGAAGTCATTCAGAACCTCAGCCTTCTCCAAATCCTCTGTAGCTAGTTCTCCCGAGAACTTCCTGAGGGGGCCTACGTTCTCCCTTGTCTGTTTTTTATTTGCTACGTACCTGTAGAATACCTTCCTGTTATCCTTAATATCCCTAGCCAAGTTTAATTCTAACTGGGCCTTAGCTTTCCTGACCTGGTCCCTAGCTTCCTGGACAACATCCCTGTACTCTTCCCAGGCCGCCTGTCCTTGCTTCCACTTATTATAAGCCTCTTTCTTCATTTGAATTTTCCTCAGCAGCTCCTTATCCATCCAAGGAGGTCTCCTGGCCCTCCTGCTGCGCTTCCTTCTAGTTGGGATGCAACACTCCTGAGCTTGTAGCAGGTGATCCTTGAATATCAACCGAGAGTCTTTGGCCCCCCTGCCCTCTAGGCCTATATCCCATGGAACCTTGCTAAGCAGGTTTCTGAATAGGCCAAAGTCTGCTCTTTTGAAGTCCAAGGCAGTGAGCTTGCTGCACGCTCTTCTCACTGTTCTGAGGATCTCAAATTCAACCATCTCGTGATGGCTGCATCCAAGGCTGCCCTGGATCCTCACATTTCCAACCAGCCCTTCCCTGCTGGTGAGCACGAGGTCAATCATGGCACCTCTCCTTGTCGGCTTCTCTCTTACTTGCAGGAGGAAGTTGTCTTCCACACAATCGAGGAACCTCCTGGATTACTTGTGCTGGCCCGTACCGTCATTCCAACAGATGTCAGTGTGGTTGAAGTCCCCCATGAGAACAAGTGCCTGTGAGCGTGAGGCTTTTCCTATCTGTCTATAGAGTGCTTCATCCGCAGGTTCTCCTTGATCAGGTGGTCTGTAACAGATCCCCACAGTAATGTCTCCCATCGCTGTTTTCCCTTTGACCCTGACCCACAAACTCTCTGTGGACTGCTCACCTGTCCCCAGACAGAGTTCCATACTCTCCATCCAATCCCTAACATAAAGGGCAACTCCCCCTCCCCGCCTGCCGGGCCTGTCTTTTCTAAAAAGCCTGTAACCTTCCATTCCAACACTCCAGTCATAGGAGCCATCCCACCATGTTTCTGCAATGCCTATTATATCATACCACCGTAGATGTGCACACATCTCTAATTCCTCTTGTTTGTTCCCATGCTACGGGCGTTTGTATAGAGGCATCTGAGCCGAGCTCCAAATGAAGCCGGCTCATTGGCTGGAGCGGCTGGAATATATCTACATTGCTCCGAGCTTTTATTATAGGTGCTGGAAACTGACTGGGTGTCTTGGGATGGAATGATGCCCCCTCCCCCAACACATCTAGTTTAAAGCCTCCTTGACCAGTCTGGCAAGCCTCCTACCAAAACTGCTCTTTCCCTTCTTTATCACCAGCTCCACCAGCCCCCAGTAGACCTGGCCTACAAACTTGGGTCCCGTGTTCAAGACACCCAAACCCCTGACTATGACACCACCCTTTTAACCATTTATTAACCTGGCTAATCCTCCTAGCTTTTTTTAGGTCCTCCCCTGTATCCTGGAGAATTGACGAAAAGACTATCTGAGCTCCAAAGCCCCTAACCACCTCTCCCAGGGCTCTGTAGTCCTTCTTTATGTTCCCCAGGCTACTACTATCTATATCCCTAGCACCCACATGTATCACCAGAAGTGGGTAATAGTCTGTGGGACTGTGTCCCGTGCCACTGCCCAGAACACTATCCTGGGCCTTGAGAAACAGACTTTGTGGAGACATGGCACCTCAGAGAGAACTGAGTCAGACAATGGGACTCATTTCCAGGACAGCCTTATAGACACCTGGGCCAAAGAGCATGGCATTGAGCGGGTATATCACATCCCCTACCAGGCACCAGCCTCTGGGAAAATCGAACGGTACAATGGGCTGTTAAAAACTGTTCCTACATTACATTCTGAATTTAACTACCGATTTTCACTGAAAGTCTTAACCTTCTTTCTGAACTGAGTGGGGGTGTACGTGCACGTCCCCTTCCATTTTCACAATTACAAAATATTTTACCACACTCCATGTAAATGTAGAGGAAAGAAAAATATTGGTCCTTCACTTGCTGCAATCTATTGCAAAAATACTATACAGTTCAAATGTATATTTTACGTTCCAGTCTGGAACTAGGCTAAGTTAGTTTTGACAGTGATGTTAATGAAATTGCTTTGGAAATGAACTAAACCGAATGCATAAGTACTGACCCTATGAAAAGATTTTAGTGTGTTACTTCCAGTGGACCGGTCACTGTGGTAATCTGAAGAGTTTCCAAGTCTAAATCCCTAGTAAGGTGTACAGTTCTATGAGCGGTAACACATAATCATGTAGAGTGTTTTCACGTGCTATACAGGTAAAGACCAGTTGGGTAAAGGTGACATTAAAAAGTTATGCCTGTGTATACTTTTACAGTAGTAGTAGAGCTGACATTTGTATATTGTCCTTTGTCACAAAAGACAATAAAATGCTGATAAATATATGTGTAATATCTATGAAGTACAGCAGTCAAGCACTGCACAAGGACACCAGATCAAATTTTCCTGTAAAAAGAATGCCCTGCCAGTTTTAAGTGGCCCCACAGAGCAGATGTACTTTTGTTTTTCTAAAGGCACTGTCAGCATATTATCCTCTTCATACCTTGTAAACCACACAGTATTTTGAGCAAAGAACAATTCTGTTGTCTGAGCCTATGGGTTGAGGGAATCTAGTTATACTGAGAGCTGATGCTTGGACTGTATAGATATTTCCTCTGGCATGTCAGAATGGAGATTTAAAATGCTTTGCATCTGGCTGGAAGTGCTATTGTAGATGTGCTTCAGGTGTTTTTGTCATAGTGTCTTACATTCCTGGATGATAGACTGTTGAAAACACCAGCTATTTGTCTACATAAATGCTCTTTCCATTACTACCACTGGTGAGGTACTGGTACAAGTTAGAGTAGTAACAAAGAGGGAAGTTGCTAAAGCCTTCAGCACAAACAAGATCAACTGACTTCTCTAGCAAACTATAGACCTGCAATTTCCTTCAGTCAGTTTTTCAAAGTGGTTTTAGTTAAGTATGCTGTGGGATTAGCAGGATTGAGACTGTAACTATCACACTGTCACTTTGTCTTCATAAGCACTTAGGATGAATTACAGCTCTAGACTGCCAGCATAAACACATCACAGAATTCCATGGGAGCAGATGGCTATTAACTCAGTCATAATGTTAGGCATCTTTACCTGGTATAAATGAGTACTTTGCTTGAAATCCCTTTCCTTCCAGCTCTTCATCAGAAGTAAACTTGATCCACATAAATCTCCCTGCTGATCTAATTAGTGCAGGACTTTTCAAACCACAGTAACGATTAATGAGAGGGGAGAAACCAAAAGGTCCATCTCGAACCTCCAGATGATCAAACCGACATTCAAATGAGGGTTCTATGTAATAAGGCTCATCAAAGGTCAACTCAATTCTTTGTCGTGGAGCAGCTAGACATAAAAAAATGAGCAAAAGATTAAATGAAGATCTATATAAAAAGCACATGAAGACACAGAATAATGAAGAAACAGACCTCCAAGACAGCAAGATAAAAAAGAGACTGGAAACTTCTCAAAATACATCTGGCAGTCTGCTACAAAAACTCAGATACACTATAATAAAAAATTTAAAAATTATTATATAGGACATCCTTTTTCATGGATTCTTTTTTTTGCTTGCTGATCTTTATTGTTGAAAATTCAGAAATAACATAAATTGAATTCAGCACATGTAACAGATACTAACATATATGCAAAGGTATTCAAACAAGGTTTAATATTAAATTGAATTCAGTGTTCTGTGAAAACAAAGTACATAAAAAAAGGACAAAACAATGAGGGATGCAGAAAAGAATGGAAAAGAAAAAGTTAGTTATGAAGAACTACTCACTGGTACATTTCCTAAGCATCAAGCCCAAATTTGGAGATCCTTTGGCAGGAGACACCTTTTATTAGAATATTCAGAGAAGTGTAAATGCTTCATATACGTTATTAATATGCAGGTGACTACTAAGTCTGAACAAGTGGCAGCCTAACATCAGGACTTGGATCAGATCCCTAAATCCTGAGTTGATGCAGCTGTGGCTACTTTTTGACCAGACTTCCACATCTGTAGTTCAGAACTGTGATTTATATTGTATGAATAGCTTAAGTGTTTTTTGTTCTTGTCATCTATTAAGCTACATGAACTTTCAGGTACTAATTGGCTATCTGGAATGACAGCATTAAAGAATCACATACTGTCAATTTCTTCTGAATGCAAAAAGGATTTACTTGTATGTCTCTAACACTTTTTTTAGAACTTACACCTTATACACGAGTTAAAAACATTTGTAGCTGTTTGCACATATTGTCAGAGGTCTGTAGGAATACTTTAGCTAGAAATTGTGGAGGACCTTGGTCTCACTCAGGTAACCCTAATGTTTCTGTATAAGGATTGTGAGGCTCTGTGCCCCATGGAAACTGCCTCATGTCAGGGAGATCCAGCAGTGGATCTGGTATGTCCCAACACTGAAGCTGGACAGATCTGCTCCCCAGTGCCTTCACTGTCAGGGAAGATACAGAACTTCAGATATGAATGCATACAAGCAAAAATGAGGGTGTCTGTGAACTACTACTATACTGTACATATAAAACCTCACTGAAACATGTTACTTGAAATATTTCAGTTAATTGATATGAATCTGATTATTAAGCTAACGTTTTTAGCTGACTTCAGTGGGTTTTGGATGCATTCTAATAAGAGGAAAAAATAATTAGTGTGTCCCAAGTCTTACAGCCTTTACCCAAGATATTCTCATTGGAATGTGGTTTTATTCTAGTTAATTAAATTTTTTTGTCCTCATCACATTATTTCAGTAGTGACCTCCCCAGTGCTAACAAATCTCCATATTTTTAATACAGTGCCATAGCAGTAAGATGTGTGTTTTTTATTAATAAAGGACAGCATAAAGATTCCCTGCCTGTGGAATACACTTTGAATAATCCAGTATGGTCTGGTAAATGCTGAAGGCAGTCTGCAAGCATCTTTTGTAGTTTATCTTCAGCAATATTGGAAGTGATATTAAGATAACAAGCTACAATTTTTATCTTAGTAGTTCTGTGCCTTCATAGATTACAATAGATCTGATGCTGCTTTTCCTGTCTGAGGGTATGTATTATTCCGTATAGCTAATTCCTGAATGACTGCATTTTCTATTAATGTATTGTTATTACTTCAGAAAACAAATTTAGCTTCTTGTTTAACCAAATGACTGCAGAATTGATTATATTACCAGTACAGCTATACAGTATTTGACAGTACAGTAAGATGACACAGTTTTAACAGTTCAAGATTATACATTGAACACTAAGATTACAACACAACAAAAGAGAAATACAGCATGTACCTTCTAAGATATAGATGCACTCTTGATTTGGTGGGTACATGTTAGGGTAGTTTGGTGAAGAAAAATGTCCTCCATTACTTGTCCGTACCCAATTGTCACACTGGGTGGGAGGAATACGATTCACACCAATATTTTGCCCACCTTAAGTGGGAAAAAAAAAAAGTGATCAAATAAATTTCTCCTATAAGCATGCAAGGTTGATTTTGGAAAAAAGTAAAACACTGACATAACCCATGTCCTATGAAAGAAGAAAGTAATTTATTTTGGTGGAAAACCCTCTTCTATGCCCCTTGCTAACATCTAGCTAGGAAAATCTTATGTTTAATTTAGTGATGTGGTGTACCCTAAAGAGATCACAGTTTCGGAATATCAAATATATCCAGTAATTCTTGGGAAGGGAAGAGAGGGAGTAAATTTTTTTTTAGCCAAGTCAGTTTAGACTTTTTGATGCTCTTCTTTCTAAGTCAGATAGTCACAGTAGCTGCCAATATAGCAGCATTATTTTCGGGCTTATGTCTTCTCCACTCCTATGCAAATATAATCTAAAATGCTTGTTGGCTTTTACTATTTTTGCCCTGATTCCGGATTATACTGAAGTATGCGACCCTTAGACTAAATATATATTTACAATATTTTTTCTTAATACAGAATGTTTAGAACAAATTATAATTTGCAAAATACACTAAATACAACAATGGTAGCTAATAAAATCACTAGCAATCACTTATCCTCCTTATAACCAATCACTTAGATTGGATATAAGGAGGAAATTCTTTCCTGTTATGGTGGCGGGGCACTGGCACAGGTTGCCCAGGGAGGTTGTGAATGCTCCATCCCTGGCAGTGTTCAAGACCAGGTTGGACGAGGCCTTGAGTGATATGGTTTAGCGTGAGGTGTCCCTGCCCATGGCAGGGGGGTTGGAACTTGATGATCTTAAGGTCCTTTCCAACCCTAACTATTCTATGATTCTATGATTCTAATAGGTAGATTGTACTGGTAGCTAAGGGTCTCATTTAAGATGAGCTACAGGTTGGGTGGAGATTCAGAGCAGCCCTGTGGAGAAGGACTTGGGGGTCTTGGTCAATGAGAAAATGAACACAAGCTGGCAGTGTGTGCTCGCAGCCCAGAAAGCAAACTGTATCCTGGGCTTCATCAAAAGAAGCGTGACCAGGTCAAAGAAGATGATCCTGCAACTCTATGATTCTAAGATCATTCTGATGCACAGGGAAATATGATCCTTGACTGAGATTATGCACTTTACTAAGCTAATGCACCATGCTGGACTATTCACAGGAGCTTTGTTAGGGACTGTAGTGATAGGACAAGGGGCAACGGGTTAAAACTTAAATAGGGAAAGTTTAGATTGGATATAAGGAGGAAATTCTTTCCTGTTAGGGTGGTGAGGCACTGGAATAGGTTGCCCAGGGAGGCTGTGAATGCTCCATCCCTGGCAGTGTTCAAGACCAGGTTGGACAAGGCCTTGGGTGATATGATTTAGCATAAGGTGTCCCTGCCCACGGCAAGGGGGTTGGAACTAGATGATCTTAAGGTCCTTTCCAACCCTAATTATTCTATGATTCACAACCTCCCTGGGCAACCTATTTCAGTGCCTCACCACCGTAACAGGAAAGAATTTCCCCCTTATATCCAATCTAAACTTCCCCTATTTAAGTTTTAACCCGTTACCCCTTGTCCTGTCACTACAGTCCCCAATGGAGAGTCCCTCCCCAGCATCCCTATAGGCCCCCTTCAGATACTGGAAGGCTGCTATGAGGTCTCCACACAGCCTTCTCTTCTCCAGGCTGAACAGCCCCAACTTTCCCAGCCTATCTTCATATGGGAGGTGCTCCAGTCCCCTGATCATCCTCGTGGCCCTTCTCTGGACTTGTTCCAACAGTTCCATGTCCTTTTTATGTTGAGGACACCAGAACAGCACACAATACTCCAGGTAAGGTCTCACAAGAGCAGATTAAAGGGGCAGGATCACCTCCTTCGACCTGCTGGTCACACTCCTTTTGATGCACCCCAGGATACGGTTGGCTTTCTGGGCTGCAAGCGCACACTGCCTGCTCATGTTCATTTTCTCATCAACCAACACCCCCAAGTCTTTCTCTGCAGGGCTTCTCTTTATCCTAAGAGAAAGGAGTTGGGAATAGTATGATCTCTGACATTTCTTCTCAAGTACCTTTGTACCTTCTCCTTGTTAGCAGAACTGGAGAGAGTAAGACAGGATATGTGGTTTCTGCAGATTTTTCCGAAGTCTCACAGGGTGCTCTCATAATGTTATTTATATTTACACAGTTTTAATTGGCTGCCTCCAGTAAATTATATCACCTTCCACCGGTTTCTTGACAGCTTTTAGATTTATGTGGGTGAAAATTTAGTCTGTCCTGCAGAAACTGTTAAAGGAAATTCTGTAGGTGTTAGTTCTAGGAATTCTCTCCTAAGTGTGTGTTAATCCCGCATATAAGAAAATAAATTTTGTGAAACTGATGCTTTCCCCACTCAGCAAGCTTCAAAAATGGTTGTGGGTGGACTATTTGAATAGCTTGTCATACACAGAAAACATGAATTTTTCTGGTGTTTAATTTCCCACTTCTAAGGTCTAAACCCATAGGATTTTAACTGGGTAAGTGAACTTCCATGTTCTTTGTGACTGGATGGCTTTGTTCACTTGGAAAAAAGTTTAGTAAATAGGGGGAAATGGAAAAAATTAGAATTCACATTGGTAATTCAAGAGCTATTAATATCTGAACACAAATACTTTCACTTATATTGCTTAAATAAAAATGAGACAGCCATTACATTTTTTGAAAGAAAATCATCAAACCAAAATTGTACCTTGTGTCTTCTGTGCAATGGCAATCCCTTCCACTACAAAGGTTGTTACTAGTAACACTGGTGAGAGAAATTGGACAGGAAAGACATCAGTAATTCATCAAAATTATAGACTATTTTCTGCAGTCCTGAATCATGCAAATCCTAGAAATCATTAACCACAACAACTTGGAACATGCAAAAATATGTAATGCATTTATGTGCTTTCTTAAAATTTGAACTTTAGGAAACCAGTACAGTCTAAGTGCAGTGTTGGTTCTTCCAGGTTCCTTAAGAAAGCATATATGAGAATAGCAATTTTTATTGTTTGAGGGAGCTTCAAGAATATTTTCTAGAGCATCTACTAATGTGCAAGCATTTTATAAAATTACATGGTACCTGCTATATAACTTTTATATCCTGAAACAAGATGTTTCTCTGCTATATTGAACCACATTTATTCTAAACCTCCATTGGTGTAACGTGTACAAATGGCTTTTCCAGCTTCCCAGAAATTAATCAGGACAAGTGAGATGCTGCATGGTCTTACCCCCACATGGACTTCAGGTGCGCTATATAATTGTGCTCATGAGACTGGTGGTTGAGATGCAGACACAGTAGCACTGATTTCTCTGAATGATGTAGCAGTAGAAAACAAGCAGACACAAGTTCTAACAATGGAGAGACTTACTTTGAGCAGTGACAACAGCTAGGATGAGGATACTTAGGATGTACACTGCTGCAAGCACTCTGGTTTGCTGGAGTGTTGTTAGTCTCAGGTGTTGACATGCTAGTGTTTTCTAGAGTTGAATTGATTGACTAATAAACCTTCTTTCTTCCTCCCTCCCTTCCTTCCTTCCTTCCTCCCTTCCTTCCTTCCTCCCTCCCTCCCTCCCTTCCTTCCCCCCTCCCTTCCTTCCTTCCTACCCTCTCCCTTCCTACCCCCCCCCTTCCTTCCTACTCCCCTCCCTTCCTTCCTTCCTTTCTTCCTTCGTTCCTTCCTCCCTGCCTCCCTTCCTTCCTTCCTCCCTCCCCCCCTTCCTTCCTCCCTCCCTCCCCCCCTTCCTTCCTCCCCCCCTTCCTTCCTTCCTTCCTCCCCCCTTCCTTCCTCCCCCCCCTTCCTTCCTTCCTCCCCCCTTCCTTCCTTCCTCCCCCCCTCCCTTCCTTCCTCCCCCCTCCCTTCCTTCCTTCCCCCCCTTCCTTCCTCCCTCCCCCCTTCCTTCCTCCCCCCCTTCCTTCCTTCCTTCCCCCCTCCCTTCCACAGCATGTAGTAAAGATTCCATATTTCACTATCCATCAACATTTACAAAACAAGCTGAATGTCTAGATTTTCCTAAAATGCTTTTTCCCCTCAATGTATTAGTGATTACCAGGAAGGGAAAAGAGAATGAAATAAAGTATATTAATCACTCCAGTCTTCAAATGTTTCATTTGCTTATGTCTTGAGTATATCTCTGTCAATTCTGAACAGGTATTGGAGAACTTCCTAAGTAGGGGCAGCACTCTGGCCTGAACTACTGCTGGCTGAGGGGAGATAGGATAAAATCCCAAGTGTCCTTGAGATGGTGAATAGATAGCAACTACTTCTCTCTTCCAGTACAAGAACCAGAGTTATCAGACAAAGCTAGCAGGTGGCATGTTCAAAGTAAATGAGATTTTTTTTTTATTTAATGCTCATACTTCATAACACATTCTTGAGGTAGAAAACTGTGTTTCAGAAACCCCTTAAGCCATAAGTTGCTGGAACTCTGGAATGCTATTTTGGGAAAATATAATTTGCTCTACTTTTACACTCTTTCTGCTTTTATATCTCTGTGAAAGAACATATCCAGATTAAATAGACCTTTGATTTGAGCTGGTATGGCCTTTTCCATGTTCTTAATCTACTTGTTAATACTAAGTCAGACAGGCATAGCCTTACCACTGCAGGGAAAAAGATTTCAGCAGGAATTTTATTGTCACATTCGAGAAGTCCATTTTATTTTCACAGTTTTCCCCTCTCATTGCTCAGGCATTTTATTGTTTCATGCTGAAATAGCATTTTCTCTGTCATGATTTTCCCTGTGTTGCTGGTAGACTTTGAGCCCTTCAGACAGTTCCAGAGTAAGCGTGCACTCAATGACTGAGAACTACGGTGATTTCAACTAAACTCATCTAGACGCAATCTTGGCATATGATACATTGCCTTGGGGAAAGAGGAAAGGAAACAAAGTCTGCCCTCGAGAGTGTCCCTCTAGCATTTGCAGTTTATTACATGTGGTTTTGATGGCCTTTTTTCTCTCTCCCCATATTAAAACAGGCTGTGTGCCATTATAATACTTTCATCCCTTGTACGTTGAGTTCAGAACTGTGAGTGTTCTAAAATACAATATGTGTCTTTCTTGCAAACAACTGCTATGTTCCTAGAAGCTCATTTGATTTTTAGGGATGGATTATGAGGTTGTAGGTTAAGACTTAGGTATCTTTGCAATAATTCTCCATTTTTAATATACTGAAAAATATACTTCCTAACTGTCTGTCCTGGGTTCAGCTGTAACAGTTATTTTTCTCCTTCTTAGTAGCTAGTGCAGTGCTGTGTTTTTGACTTCAGCCTGAGAACAATGCTGATAACACACCAGTGTTTTAGTTGTTGCTAAGTAATGCTTACCCCCATCAAGGACTTTTCGGTCTCTCATGCTCTGCCAGTGAGGAGGGGCACAAGAAGCCAGGAGGAAGCAGAAACAGGACACCTGACCCAAAGTAGCCCAAGGGGTATTCCATAACAGCATGTCATGCCCCCTATATAAACTGGGGGGAGTCACCCAGAAGGCCCAGACTGCAGGTAGTGAGCAATTGTATTGTGCATCACTTGTGTTAATTATTTTTCCCTTTCCCCTTTAAGTTTTATATTCTCTCCTGTTGTTATTTCCCTTATCATTATTGTTATTAGTGGTAGTAGTAGTAGGTTTGTATTATACCTTAGTTACTGGACTGTTCTTATCTCAACCCGTGGGATTTAGATTCCTTAGATTGTCCTCTCCATGCCACTGGAAGCAGGGGGGGAAGAAGGGGAGGAGTGAGCAAGTGGTTGTGTGGTTCTGAGTTACCAGCTGGGCTTAAACCATGACACTGTCATTATCCCAATATAAATTATCAATTGTTAATCGTTGCTGACTCATCCTGGATTGAAAATTCATCCTTCAGAAGAAAGTAACTAGTACCCATTACTGGTCTTCAAGTTATGGATGTTCACTAGTCTTTAAAGCATATAAAATAAATATCCCATCTTTATTAACATGTGAGTGACATTAGCTTTCAGATATTTTTATTTAGCATTTCTTCTATAGAAGCCACTATTTCAAAATGATTTGCAGTTCATTTTTGCAGCTTCTGTGTTTAAACTGTACACTCAGAAGATCAGAGTTTAAGTGCATGAACTTGTAATGCATTTGTACTCCTGAGATTGCTTGTCCCTAACAATCTTGATGGTGGTTATAAAGTTGTCTATGTATTTTCTTTGCTTTTTTTTCTATACTGGTTTTGGAACAACAGTTCAAAGTTGGCTTTTAGCATTAAAGTAAATGCAGTTTCCACAATCCTATGTAAACCACATGTCACTATGTTCTTAAAGATTTGCTGTGCCCACCCTCTGATTTGCAAAGACATGGCAATGTCTATACAAGTTGTTGTGATGCCTCTTAAAATGCAAAATGGGTTTTGTCTTTTTTTCTCAAAGCAAACACACACAGAAATGTAAGTAAAATAAGTATTTTGATGACTAACAAAACTAATACAGATAGTCACTTTCAAGTGAAAAATCTGGGGGTTTGTTGATTTGCTTTGGGTTTTTCTAGTAGAGCTATCTACTATCTAACACTGTTACAATATACCTTTTATTTCTTTTTCCCCCAAGAGTACAAGATTGTGCTCTCTTGTACAGATAGAGACAATGTGAGATGTTCAGTTACACTAACCAGTGATTTCACTTCTTAAAGTGATGTGGATACAGGAACAAAACTCCTAAAAGGAATTCAGAAAATTTGACTGGCTTTCACTAAAGCCTGTGCCATTTCTATAAATAGTTCAGAGTATGTGTGTGTAAGTACAAAGGAATAGTGCATATTTCCTGCAGAACAGCATGGATATGCAGGCAATTACAGAAGATAAATGAGCTGAATATTTGTCTTGCTGTCTTCCTTTTGTCACGTTATATGGATGAGTGGATATAGTATGGGCCATCACCTCTTTGTTCCCTGCCCTTTTCATCCTCTTCATTTTTAATCTCTTCCATCTCTTGCCTTTCCCTGGCAATTCCTATCCTCCTCGTGCTCTGCTCTCAACAACCCTTAAGATGTATTCAAGGCAGGTAGCAAATGTTTAAGGGCCTTCCTTTGCTATTAGTTTTATCCCAATTGATAGCATGATAAAGAAAAGTGGTGTCTCTGACTAATACTCTGTATGTGTGCTGTCCTTATCTCTGTGACATTGGTAGCAAAAAGGTGGAGAGAAGAACTGTATCTGTTCTTCCCAAGAGCGCTGGGCAGGGAGCCTGAGGGTATTATTGCCTTAAAATGTGTGTATTTACATGACACAATATAGTATAGGATAGCAGACAGGAGGTTTCTGGCTGAAAACAAGGCCTATCAATTTTCAGGATGAAAGGAAAAGAAAGAAGGGAGAAAAATCAGTCAGGATATTTTTAGACTGGTTCCACTAACCCATTTTTCTGTGTATTTTAAAAACAACAAAGCAATCGCTTGGTGTCCTAAATCCATACCACTTCTTGGAAAACTATTTTTGATTCTCAAAGACTAATTTGGACTACACAAGTCGGTAAGAAGGAAGGAAGATGTCTGGGAAGAGACAGATCCTGTAGCATGGTGCAGTGGAGAGATAGTGCTGAACCACTGTCCTGGTATTGCATGTGAGGACACAGAATTAGAACAGGCACAAAATACTACTTTCACCAAAAGTCTTGTAGCACTTTGAGAAGGATGAAGAGTGATCTTGTTATTTCTGATGAACTGAAATTCAAACAGTTATAATGCTCCTTCATTTTTCCTCTTTTAAAGTCAATTGCATATCACTGTGACATGACTCTT